CAGGAAAAAAAAAAAAAAAAAGAATGGCAAGTGACCTAAGCTTGATTTCTCTTGTATCACTCATGTTCTATGAAAACATTTATGGGAAAAAGACATCATGGGGACTTCCAAGATGGATAATATATTGCTACTTCCTTCAAGCAAGTTCTGGCCTGCTGTTGCAGACAACTGACTCGGGGTGCCAAAGTTCAGAAAAAGGAAAGAACTTCTGTTACATCTCCCTACCCTCAGTGGGTGGCTTCTAACTCTCTGGACAGGGGACGGAGTGGGGCTGTGGCAGAGGGGAAGAGAAACCTCATGACCTGCCTCTTCTCTCCAGTGAGTTGTTCAGCCTCCTATGCCCAGCACTGAGGCTGACTCTGGCTCTGAGGTCCCTGTAAATCAAGAATGCATCTTTGGCAAGAATACAGGGAAGTCACTGAAGTCTGGCTTGGAGTGCCCACTCGCCTGGAACCTAGTTAGCAAGGATAACTATTCTACCACCTGGCACAAAATTCCCTCCCTCCCCCAGCATCTTCTCCCCAGCTAGCCAGAACCCACTATTTCATGATAAGGCTGTGAAAAGCATAAGCTCTGCTGGGTTTCCTACAGAAGAGTGTGGGTCCGTTGGAAAGCACTGAGGCTGGTCGATCCGACATGAGGTTCACAACCTGCTTGGTAGCCTACCAAAGAGAATCAGCACTATTATTGAGGGGAGAGCGGTGGTAGCTCCCCTAAGTTTTTTCAATCTTCTGAAAGTAAAATTAATAATAAACCGAAGGCCTTCTGTACCTACCCAATTGGATTAAGAACAAAAAATTGAAATTTTGGCTCCCTAGAAGTGATAGAGCACTTAAGAACTTCCTAAGCACGATAAATAAGATAGGCAATACCATGTATTCATTTAAAAATTGCTTTTCCCAGGACATTTAAGTGTCATTATGTTCTTCCCCTCTTGAGACCTTCAGTAGAAGCTGAAGAGAAGAAAGGTGAAGCCAGAAGAGGATGGCCAAGGGATATCACCAGTGGGTGACACAATAGGGGTATATAGGAGAGGGCCAGGGATCACAGGAAGAGTGTTGACATAGTGACCTGGAAACACCTAAAACTTCCTAAACACAAATGCAAGGAGCACAGAGAAATCTGTCTTCAAGGTGTCCTCAGTGCATCTTCTGAATCATCCCTTCTTAGAAGCAAAGTTTCTGTCATCCAGTTGTATAGAAGGTCTATACAACTGTCCCTCACAGAAGAGAGAGTGATCTTTTAGTTTGTTTGTTTTTAAGTATTCAGTTCTTCAAGATTTACAGTGGGAAGCAAAATCAGGAAACATGGAGCTGTATACCTATAGAGAAGGAGGAGATTCTGAAATCATCTTCGTTCAGTCAGCTGGTCGTAGGCTAGCAAATGTTGGCCATGCTGGTTAAGTTTGCCCAAGATCAGACAGCTACTTAGAAGAAAGGACTGTAATCCACACTGTGTTCCTAGCTCAGAATTTGATTTTTTTTTTTTTTTTTTTACATTTTTATATGGTATCTGGTATCTGGTATTTGTTATATGGGCAGTCCAAAGCATCCTATATGAGGATACATGTAGAATATATCATTTTAAGCCTCATTGCTTTTTTACATTTTAGGTGAAGATGGGGTTTATATTCTCAAAATCTATGAATGAAAACATGAAAAACCAACAGGAGTTTATGCTTATGAATGCTCGACTCCAGGTACATTTTCAAACAATTAAGTTTTTATGTTGTTACAGTGGTTACAGTTTCTATGACATACTCCAGCAGTATTGTTCTCTTTGGCCCCAAAAGGTAAAATGCTCATGGGCCTCTATCCTCGGAGCCAAGATGAAATGGATTACTAATTATCTGGTAAATGGGCGTGTTTAAATCTCCAGTCTAGATCCTAGTATAAAAATTTCCATACCAAAGGAAGACGTAACTGCTTAGAGTGTAGGGGAGGTAGAATGATGCCCCTCTCCTCACCAAATATGTGCATCCTAACCTCCTGTGGATATGTTGCCTTACATGGCAAAAGAGACTTTGAAATGTGATTAAGTTAAGGAGTTTGAGCTAAGGAAGCTCCTGGGTTATTCTGGATTATCTGGATGGGCCCAATGTAATCACAATGGTCCTTATAAGGGGTAGAGATGGGGCGCCTGGGTGGCTCAGTCGGTTAAGCATCCGACTTCAGCTCAGGTCATGATCTCGCGGTCCGTGAGTTCGAGCCCCGCGTCGGGCTCTGTGCTGACCGCTCAGAGCCTGGAGCCTGTTTCGGATTCTGTGTCTCCCTCTCTCTCTGACCCTCCCCCATTCATGCTCTGTCTCTCTCTGTCTCAAAAATAAATAAATGTTAAAAAAAAAATAAGGGGTAGGAGAGGACAGAGGGTCAAAGTCAGAGAGAAAAAAAAAGATTTGAAGATGCTACACTGCTAGCTTTGAAGATAGAGTGAAGGGCCAAAGAAGGAATTCAGGTAGCCTCTAGAAGCTGGAGAAGGCAAGGATGTGGATTCTTTCCTAGAGCCCAGAAGGAACACAGTCCCACAGCCCGCTTGGGATTTCTGACTCCGGAACTATAAGATAATAAATGTATGCTGTTTTAAGCTTCAAGTATAATTTGTTATAGCAACAATAGGAAATTAATACACACTGTGAAAACTTGACACTGGATTTAGACATAGGCTGATAGCAAAGTAGAAGTAGCAAAGTAGAAGACTGTCTAATTGCCTGATATTGTCTAACTGCCTAATTGTCAGGAAGTATTATGAAACGTTGTAAAGGTTTGACTGAAATTATTTTCCTAAGGTTTCAAACAAAGATCTCTTGGCTTCTGGGGTTCATTATGGCCCTGGGGATAGAAGGTCCTACTGTGAGGCAGTATGGTGAGTGGTTAAAAGTGAGGACTAAAGACAGACCAGCTAGGTTTGAATCCCATCTCTACCCCTAACTGTATGACTTGTGCCTCAGCCTCCTGGTTTATAAACTGGAGGTAACAGTATCCCCTTCACAAGGTTGCTTTGAGGATAATGATGGTCGTGTAAAGAGAGTATATGGGACAATGCCTCAAGTCCTCAAAACAGTGTCTTTCACTTTATAAGTATTCATGGTTGCTGCCATGATTGCTATTAAGAGTGTCCTGTGCAGGACAATGATTTCTTTTGGGGGAATGGGACAATTTAAAGAATGGAAACTGAATTTTTGTAACACAGAAAAGTGGCCTAGGGGAGATTAAACATTAGGCATATGAACCAGCCAAGAATGTCATATGCCCAGAGAGTCTTTTGTCCAAGATCTTTGGAAACTATAGATTTTTACATCTATTCCCTTGAAGTCAGGATATGTGAAGGGTGTGGGATTTTATCCTATTTGCAAGATAACAAATTAGCCTGTTACTATTTATTGGACGCTGGCAGAATACAGGAGACACTTCCATCAGAGACAGAGGACTTCACTACTCATAGCACAGTAAGCAGCATGAGCTTGAGGTTGGCATGAGTTTTCCCTGTGCCCCTCAAGTCTCAAGAGGGCATGCAGGTTGGCTTAATTGGATGCTGAGGTGGGTACAATGGGTTCTGGACACAGCGGAGGAACAGTGAGCTATGGAATCTACTACTTTTACCGTGACTGGTCAGCCAGGCTGCTCTTAGGTAAGACTTGTTACTTCATTTCTCAAGGTTTCTCACTGCAAACACAACCCTGAGTAATGGCCCATGTAAAGAACAGTCAGACCCTATATCCTTGGCCTACCCAGCAAAAAGTACAGGAATGGCCTATGCAGTTTGATTCTCCCAACATGTGTTTGGTTAGGATGATTAGTTTTTCTTTGTTGATCAGGATATACTTTATTATTTATCTTCTAATTTCAAGGAAGGATGATAAAAAGAATGTAGATCAACACTATTAAAGCAGCTTTCCACCTTAAAGCTACTTGAGTTCTGATCTTAACTGGGACAGGCTAGAGAGAAACATAATCTGTAGAAATTTTGGAAGATTAGGTGGGTCCTCAAATATTTCCTGTTTAAAGTAATTAAACTTCTAACATCTTTCTTAGGGTTTAGAGCTATTCCTTTATTGAAAAAAAGTATCACAAAACATTTGATACATTCTAGAGAATATATTTATAAGTTATGAAGCATAATAAAATGAGTACTGGTGAACCCATTACTAAATTGAAGAATTTTGTTATCACAATACACCTGAAGCTACCTACAGGTTCCATCCTATATGTTGAGTGAGCCCAAACAGTTAAAGCCGGTCTGGAATTGACCTCATATCCCAGAGCCCCTGGGACTGGGCAGGACTCAGAAAATGAAAGGAATGGGCCACTAGGGTAGAAGATTTCTTGTCTTTGTAAGTTCTTTAAAATATTTTTAAAAATCCCTATTGAAACATCATATGTACTAATGCCTTTAGCCCATGACGGCATGTCTTTTGGTGCTTTTCCTGTTTGATGGCATCTCAATAAAAGGGGTAAAGAGAAGAAATAAAGCAAAACTCTTATTAAAGAAAAGCCTATTGACTAGAATACTTTTCCCAGGTTTTTTTCTTACTTCTACTTTTTTTTTTTTTTTTTTTTTTTTTTTTTTTTTTTTTTTTTTGGTAGAAAAGGAGATAAATAATAACTCAATCATTCCATATTATTGGGTGTTTTTTTTTTCATTCAGGGAAAAGAACAAGAATTAGAGATTCAGCTACATCTCATACCAGTGCCCAGGTTCTTAACTGGCTGTACATTCTACTCACTCAGGGCTTTGGGATATTTAGGTCCCACCCCAGACCAATCAGATCTCTTCCTGGCCGGGCATGCTGTCACTGTTCTAAGCTCTCCAGGAGACTGTAATGCACAGTCTAGTTTGAGGTCTTTGCCCTTCGTTTTCCATGATGCTACATAATTATAATCAACGATTGGCAGGGACTTAACACAATGCATATTGGAGATGGAACCAAATAGTTTTCAATTTAAGTAAGCTAATCAGGAAATTAAATCAGTCACTGGAGTCTGATTAATAAGAATTTGTAAAAGACTTCAAATCAGAAAGGTTTCTCTTCATTACAACTTTGGTTCAAGTTGAGCTAGAGGGGATTTATACTACTAGTTAGAATGATGTTTTCGTATCATCAGCAAACTTCAGTTTCCCATTGCTTTGTTTAGCATCTCTTACTCATGATGGTGGCTATACTCAAGTAAACGAAGTATCAAAGAAAAATGAATACTTTCTTAAAATGCCATTAGATGGCATACCTAAACTAATTTCATATCTCTTGAGTGGCCAGAAAAGCATTTTGATATTATATAACAGAATGGAAACTGAAAATGGAAAGCAGAAAGAATGAGGGAAGATTCCATAAGTCTTTGCTGTGCTCTAGAACTCTGTAAGCAAAGCAGTTATGATCCATGTAAAGATAAGTCAGGTAGTTTATTCACCGTTTACTGTGTATAGACAACAAACTCAAGATTTAAAAAATACGTGATTGTATGTCTATTGTTAGTTTGGTGTTAAAGAAATGAGGTATAGTTATAAACCAAAAAATACATATTTAATATATATAAAATAATGTGCTGTATGCTAAGCAGGACTCAGGAATGCCTAAGGTATGTGCTCTATATTCAAGGAACTTATCACCTAAATTCAAGGAATTTATCATCAAGCGTGAGTCACGCTGCAAATAACCAGATGTTTGTGCGTATGTATGTGGTAAGCAGAAAATTGGCTCCCTAAAGATGTCCACACAGTAATCTCTAGAACTGTGAATGTATTATCTTGTGGCAAAATGGACCTTGCAGATGTGATTAAGGGAACAGACCTTGAGATGGGAAAATTATCCTTGATGATCCATGTGGACCCAATCTAAACACATAAATTCTTTCTTTTTTTTTTTTAGTTTTTTAATGGTCATTTTTGAGAGAGAGAGAGACAGAGACAGAGAGAGACAGAGAATGAGCAGGGGAAGGGGAGAGAGACAGGGAGATACAGAATCTGAAGAAGGCTCTGGGCTCTGTGCAGACAGCTCAGAGCCTGATGCAGGGCTCGAACGCACGATCCGTGAGATCATGACCTGAGCCGAAGTCAGATGCTCAACCGACCACCCAGGGCCAGCCAGGTACCCCTAAACACACAAATTCTTAAAAGTGGAGAGGTGAGGACAAAAAGAGAGAGAGAGAGAGAGAGAGAGAGAGAGAGAGAGAGAGAGAGAGAGAGAGATAAATACCAATGTGGAATTTAAGAAACAAAACAAGTGAGCAAAGAAAAAAATAGACAAAAAAATAGACTCTTAACTGTAGAGAACAAACTGAGGGCTACCAGAGGGGAGGCAGGATAGGGAGGAGTGAAATAGGTGAAGGGCATTAAGAGCACACTTACATGAGCAGTGAGGAATGCACAGAACTGTTGAATCACTATAATGACACCTTAAACTAACATAACACTGTACATTAACTACACTGGAGTTAAAATTAAAAAGAGAGAGAGAGAGAGAGAGAGATGTGATGTTGCTGGACTGCAACATGGAGGAAGGGATCCCCCACAAGGAATGCAGGTGGCCTGGAGAAACTGGAAAATGCCAGGAAACAGATTCTCCCCTAGACTCTCGAAAAGGAGATTCTTGCAGACACCTTGATTTTAGCCCATTTGCACCTGTGTCAGACTTCTGATGTCCAGAAGTATAAGATAGTAATTTGTGTTATTTTAAGCCACTAAGTTTGTAGTAATTTGTCTATA